TTTTAAAAAGAAAGTGACATAAACAGCAGTGTACCTAGAAAAGATTTCTCAAAATAATGTGTTAACTACAAGTGGGAAAGATTGGAGACAAGGGGGTTAATTAGAAGAGAAAAGTCCAGCAAGAAGTGATGAAAACCCAGCCTCATACAGTGTTATGGACTGAAATGTCTCACCCCAAAATTTGTATGTTGAAGCCCAAATACCTGGTGTGACTGCACTTGGAGATAGAGTTTTGGGTAGGATACTAAGGTTAGATGAGGTCATAAGGGTGGGGTCCTAATCCAATAGGATTGGTGGTCTTATAAGAAAAAGGAGAGGGGCACCCGGGTGGCTCAGTTGGTTAAGCATCCGACTTCAGGTCCTGATCTCACAGTTCATGAATTTGAGCCCCATATTGGGCTCTCTGCTATCAGCACAGAGCTCACTTCAGATCCTCTTTCCCTCTCTCTGCCCCTCCCTTATTGGTTCTTTCTCTCTAAATAAATAAATAAACTTAGAAAGAAAGAAAGAAAGAAAGAAAGAAAGAAAGAAAGAAAGAAAGAAAGAAAGAGAGAAAGAAAGAGGAAAAGGAGGGGCATCAGTCTTTCCAAGTGTACAGGTTGAGGAAAGGCCAGCCACATGAGACTTGGTGAGAAGGGAGCCGTCTACAAGCCAGGAAGAGAGCCCTCGGCAGAACTGGAGCATGCTGGTATCCTGATCTGACTTCCAGCCTTCAGAACTGTGAGGAGCTAGACTTCTATTGTTCAAGCCACGCAGTCCATGCTATTTTGTTATGGTGGCCTGAGCAGACTAAGACAGACAGTGACATTAGGAATGGCAGGGAGAGGACAAATGTCAGCAAGTCACCATGGAAATAGAATCAACAGGATTTGACAAGAATCCACTTGGGAATGTGAGAGGCAGAGGTCAGCAGTGGCTCTGCGTCTAAGTCAGTGACTAGAAGGTGTTATGATGCCATTTGCAGAACCCGAGAACAGAGTGGGAAGAACAACACTGAGGGGAAAGAGCTTAATTTCTGTTTCTGAGAAGTTTGGTGATTGAATTTGAGGTGTTGGCAACATCACCAGGCAGAATCTTTGAGAAGCAGGCAAATGGAGCTGTGGGTTTGGCGGTGAAGAGAGATGACTGAACTGAAAATATAAATCATTTTGGAGTCATCTGCAGGGGGACAACACCAAGGGCTGGTCATGAACAAAAACATTTGTGCACAACAAGATCTACATGACCCCGAGTCTACTAAGAATGATGCCTATCTCTATGTTTGCTACCTGGGCCTGACTTACATGTGATTTTCACAAATTCTAGAACCTGTGCTGTAAAAGAGAGTTGGAAATGTAGACGCTCTACCTTTAAAATGGTAAATAAAATGTAGTTTAAACACCCCAATACCCCCTTCTGCTTTGATACATGTGCAATTTATTTCTGTTGGCAAGAAGTCCAAACAGAATTTACTCAGCCATACAGTTCAACAAACATGATACAATGACCCTGACGCAGGGTAAAGGGTAAACTGTTCTTCAAAGAAAGCACCCATTAGCTCTATTAGCTCTAAAAGGATTGAAGGCAAAAATGGGACATTCTATCCCATTGGGATGAAGATTAGCAAGAGAATTCTACACCTGGGAACCTTGGTTCTTGAATTTCACAAGTGACAATGGAGTAACTACATTGGACAGAGACAACAAGGAGAAGCGGAAAATAACTGAAGGAGAACAAGATTATTATAAAAGAAAGTTTCATAAACATCCCACTAAGTGGGACAACAAATAGGATATTTAGCAAACGAATACTGTGAGGGTCCTTCCTGTAAAAAGTGGCCAACTGTCATAAGCACAACTGATTTCTAAAATTCATAGAACTTGAAGATGCAGGCTTGGGACTCCCCACTAGACAGCCATTAAAAAAGGACTAGAAAATCTTAGCCATGGGTTTATTTCTGAAGCCAGAAATAAAGGAAGAGTTGCATGAAACACGGGGACTCTGATAACTTAATACCTGTTGTAGAAATTCAGAGTCTTTAACAAATATGTGTATATATCATTTCCATTAACTGGAAGCAATGACTTTCGATTATTTAAGCGATTTCTTTCGCTATTTAGTAACATTTTTCTAAGTTTTATATATACGTTACTATTTCTGGATTCTCTGATTTCGACATTTCTGTTGACTTCCTGTTATGGAATGTCAGGATTTAGTCCGTGCTCCCACAACACAGATGCAGACACAGACACACATTGTTCCCTTGCTCTTTTTCTGCCTAATTTGTTCAGGCCACACTTTATGGTTGTTATCAGTTCTCATTGTTTTCATTGTTATGACTACATAAATCCTGCTCATGGCTGAGCCACTTGGTGTTCTTTGATTTTATTTCCTTTCTTGTTCAACCTTCTGTTATTCCTGGAGTGATTTGTGCTGTTTTCTTTGTCTGGTTTTCTCTGAAACTATCGTGTATTCATTTCCCAAACTCTCTGCCAGAGGTGGTGTTTTCCTCAATATAATCAAACACATGAGATAATTGATCAGTGCCTTTCTCTTACCTTGGGGACTTCCTTCTGTATGTCTTTGATTTCCTGCTTCATTTGGACCCAGCTCATCTCCAGACCTGCTGGATAGCTGCTCCCGCAGGTCCTTGTTCACGACAATCCTAAGAATTCCCTTAGTCTTTCCTCCGCATGCATTGCTCTCCCGCCACAACTTCTTTCTTTCCCCCCTCCTTCCTTCTTTTGACTCCATAAATACTGACTGCCCACTATGTTCTAGGCATTGTTCTCGGTGCTGTTGACAGAGCAGAACTAGTAATAAGGACGTCAGCATTGGATATGCTGAGCTGGGGTACCTTTCCTTTATTTTTATTTTTTCAAGTTTATTTATTTTGAGAGAGAGAGAGAGAGAGAGAGAGAGCGAGCGAGTGCAGGGGAGGGGCAGAAAGAGAGAGAGAGAGAGAGAGAGAGAGAGAGAGAGAGAATCCCAAGCAGCCTCCACACTGTCAGCGCAGAGCCCGACACAGGGCTCAAGCTCACAAACCAGTGAGTTCATGACCTGAGCTGGAATCCAAACCCAGAGTTGGACGTTTACCCAGCTGAGCCACTCAGACACCCCAGGTATCTTTTAAACCCCTCAAGGCAGTTGGACACAGAAGTATCGAGTTCAGAGACAGGTTAGGCTAGAAGCATACATTTGAGAATCATGCACATATAAATGGTATTTAAAGCCAATGGGCTTGATGAGGTCACCTGCGGAGTCAGGGTGGAGAAGGGAGATATTGGGAGGTTTCAACATTTAGAAACAGGAGGGATGAGGCATATCCAGTAAAAAAGAATGAGTAGATGTGGTCAGGGAGGTAAGAGAAGCAGCAGGAAACAATGGTAAACTGAAGAAAACATCTCCCATGGGCTTCCTCAGCATGGCTGTTTACTTCCTGAACTTCCTCAAGCCAGCAAGGAAACTCTCTGCCCTCAGGGAGGCCCCACTCTCTCTCTCTCTCTACAGGGTCTTTGGCTGATTACATCAAGCCCTGGATAAACTTCTT